CCAAAGAGGTCTCAACCTACAGGGTGGGAACTGCCACTGTAAGCTAAGCTGGTGTCAAACACATGGTAAACACCAAGCAAATGTTAGTTGATATGTTGCTATTTTATTTTAATTTTGGCTTTCTGAGACAGGATTTCTCTGTGTGCACTTGGCTGTCCTAGAACTGGCTTTGTAGAACAAGTGAACCTTGAACTCAGAAATCTGCTGGTCTCCGCTTCCTGGGTGCTGGAATTAAAGCGTGTACCACCACACTAAGCCAGCTTTTTTTATTTTTTAACTAAAAAATTTAATGTGTGCACTCATGAGTGGTGTACATGTGTGGAGGTGTGCATGTTCATAACTGTGCATCTGTTGGGGTCAGAGGTCTACATCAGGTGTCTTCCTGTTGTAGAATATTAGTTAAAGATGTGTTACATTTGTTTAATGATGCAAAGATGGGTTGCATTCTTTTACGTTGCATTTGTTTAACTCTGTGAGGGTGTGTTACTTTGCCTGTCTTGGCCTAATAAACACCTGATTGGTCTACTAACGAGGCTTTCTGAAACAGCAGTTATTCTTAGCAAGGTCTGACTTGCCTTTCCTTGTCTTCAGTATCTCAAGTTGTTTCCTGGAACTAAGGTGGACTTCGAGCTCATTGAGAAAGATCAAATACCATAGTGTGGTATTGAAAAATGAGTTTTTTGCAACTTAATTTAGTCAACTTTGCTTCAGTTCCTGAAGAATGAGCAACTCTTGAGAATGGGATAAGAATGCATACAAACAGATGAGGCTCAGGCTTATCCCCAGGAAGGTAAAAGACAAACAAATGAAACTAACAAAAACCCAAACAAAAAGATGTCGATATGATGCTCAGGATGAAAAGAGCAACCAGAGCAGAAAATTTTTAAATCATCTCCTAAATATACAAAAGCATTTTATGGGTGTGAGCAAAGGATAGCCTCTAAGACACTCTACATGGGAGGCAATAGGAAGAGCTTGCTAAGAGAAGCAGTGTGGGGTTTAATCAGGTTAAGCCATTGTCCATGGCACTTGTAGAAAGAGTTTACTAGAACAGAGAGTGTTTCAGACTAGGGAGCTGGAAGAGAGAACTGTTATCAAGCTGTGAGTCAAATACTGGTGGGAATTTCCCCGAGCAAGTTCATTGGCAGCAGAATAGGGGACAGATTTGGCACGACTCCAGATCATTAGTGTTGACTTGTAGGCTATCCATTAAACAACCACAGCAAACGATAGGGACCCAATCTGATTCATGATTTACTTTTATATGGTGTTTTAACTAAGAACAGTTTTCACACTTTTAAATAATTGAAAGCAAACTGGAAAAAGGTCATAAACTATTTTGACAGTTAGAACATATTTAAATATCGGTCTCTAGATATGAAAATGTACCAGGACACAGCTGTGCCCTGCATTGATTCTGCATTGTCTGTGGCTGCTTTATGACATAGTGACAGAACTGAGTAGCTGTAGCAGAGAACCTACAGCCTAGAAAACAGAAAGATCAGTCACTTTAACCTTCACCCCAAAGCTGGCTAGACTCTGGCTGAAGAAGCTGATGATCATTCCTCAGGGTCACCAAGTTATGGACATCAGGAACATGCTTGTGAGCGCGGCGGGGCTGGACTGAGCTGCCGAGATGTGGGAACTGACAACGTCAGCGCAGCTTATCATCAGGGAGAAGGAATAAGACATTTGAGAACCACTGTTGCGCTAAACACAGTGCTGACTGTGCTAAGTAGCCGCTTGTTCTGACAAGCTCGCCTCACAAACATCGCTCTCTTTACGTAATCGCCCACAGCATGCCAGCAGGCCTGTTTGCTGTTCCGCCTCTCCTGCTCCCTCACGTTTTCCTGTCACTGGCTTTCTTTCTTCCTTTCTTCCTTTCTCTCTCTCTCTCTCTCTCTCTCTCTCTCTCTCTCTCTCTCTCTCTTTCTTTTTTTAAAGTACTGTTCTAAAAATGACATATTAAGAAGTGATGTGGACAACACAATGTTGGGTCTATTTCTTGTCTCCCAGTAATTTAAAGCCAGTCAAATGTATCTGTACCTTAACACCTATATTTACTCAACTTCTCACTAGTTATACATTTCCCCAAATGACAAGAAAAATTAGAGGGCAATTTGGCCATTTGAACTTGTTGAAGGAATTAGAATTCAAAAAGTCTTCCCGAGGGTGAATTTAGGCGAATTAAGCTAAGTTTTGGAGGAGCAAAGAAGTGTTTGGATAGGATACCTGATACAGAACATGCACTTGATACAGGAACACCAACTGATATGAGAAACAGATTTATTTCTCTGTTTTATGGATGTTTTTAGAACACTCTCTAACCATATCTACTTTGGAGCAGTTTAGTACTGAATGACTTGCTGACGGAAAAAGGTAGCTAAGAAATAATAAATTATACCTTAATAAAGGGAAAAAGAAGCCAAGTCAATTGGCATGAAAACCAATGCTATAGATTGGAAAAGGAAGATACAGTGCTTCAAATGGCATATGTCTTGGTAATGTGGGCATCAATACTACTATTAATAATTTAAATGATTGATAAATGCTACTGATATTTGTATTTTTTTTCTCATCAGCATTCAATGTAATAAATTGACTTAACATTTTTTACCACCATAGAGCTCATCAGGCTGGGTGTGGGGAATAACAATCCTTGTTTTTCATATAGAGAAAACATGAGAGAGTTGTGCGTCTCCTGGGATAAAGAAGTTGGTGGCCACACGCAGAAATACACTCTCAAAATTGTTTGTCTGTATTGCTTTGACTGAATTCTCTCTATCTTTGTCCCATGATATCCCTCTCTTGCCCCCTAACACCAAAGAAAGCATGCCACTCAGATATTGCAGGGATCAGGGAAGGAAGCCAGAGTGGTACCTTGGCACGTTAGTGAAAAGAAGTACACACACACACACACACACACACACACACACACACTCCAGACCTGATCTTCCTCAGTCATTTTTTTAATTCTTTATAAGCTCTCTTTATCATTTTTCTTTTCTTTCTCTTCTCCATTTAATTCAAAAGACTATTTATTATTTACAGAATCTATCATAAAACTAAGGCCTGCATGGATTCCAATGAAAGTTTTGTTTATTTCTTATTCTACTTCTTACTACTAATAATTCAGCACATCCTATGTTTTTATTATGCATACACCATATAATTATCTTAAAAATTAGAATGTAAAATATATCTCATTCATATTATCATCACGATTTTTGCTAAATGGATAATTGGCCACTTTCATGTTAATACAAGCAGATTTGCACTCAACAACTTAGTAACTGCTTTGCTTGGATTTCTGTCTGGATTAAAAAAGTCACTGTCAAACAAATACAACTAATATTTCATATTTCAGCATTATAACCATATACTGTTGGCCATTCTATCCTGATTTCTATACATGTAAAGTTACATTCTTTATCTGGCATGCACAGCCATTTGCTGAAAAACCTTCCCTCCCTGTATCGACCCCAAAGTCTTGCTTACGTCTGCTATATGCATCTCCTGTCTTCTGCAGCAGATGAATAGCAAGCATTCAGAGATAGACGGAACAGGAATAAGGCTGGGGAGCTTCTTGGGCACAAGTGCGCATGGAAAAATAAGCACCTGATGGAAAAGTATTTTTGTGTTATAGTAATTGCCATTCTAGGAACAGGTGTTTGGAACCCTACTCAAGGGAGAACCGGAGATCGAAGAGGTCAGAGAGAGAACACTGAAGTTTCCATGGCTACCATCCCATGGGAAAATCATAACAAGAAAGGAGGGAAACAACTAGGGTCCCTTGGGTCTAGACACTATATCCCATACCCAGCAGCTGGGACAGGTAGGATCCTGTGAAGATGGTAACACCAATTTTCCCTCCTCAGTGTCCAGGCACAAAGATGTAATGATGGTGCTGCAAGATCAATGCCATAATATTTCCTGATGGTCCTATACCAAACAATGATTTCTCTTTATTTCTATAAGTAAAAAGTATTTATTGCAAAGGCTTTGCAGTTTGCAAGAAGCTTCCTGCACTCACTGGGGTGTTGTCGACAGGAGGGGTGCCCTGTGCCTTATTGATAGGTGGAGAAACAGCATTTGAATGGTTTAGACCTGAGTCAGAGCTGGTAATGAAAATGCTGGAAGTATAATTCTCTTTCATGGGATTCAATACCCAGAATTCCTCCACCAGGACGTTACATTCTCTCCATCTTCCACATATTGGATGAGTAGCATTCTAGAAAGAAAGAAGCCCATTTATAGACATGAGAAATAGCTAAATAAAAAAAATAGCAGCATTATAGCCCAAAGCCTTACCAAGCAGTGACTTTATTATTATTATTATTATTATTATTATTATTATTATTATTATTTAGTATTTGAATTTGCTTACCAACTAGAATATATAATCTGAATGGTTGGCAATTTAATCAACCAAACAAAAGCCTGCTCTACCATCAGGTGTTAGGATTGTGCTTTGAGGGAAAGATGATGTCACATGGAAGGGCTCCCAAAACATCATGGAAGCTTACCAGTAAATATTAGCTCAAAACTAGGGTTTTTAGGAGGCCTTCTATAATCTTTTCCATGCACCCTCAAGGTTAGGTTTGGAATTTAATCATAAAATTAGAAGGCAAGTAGAATTAGATCTGCGGCGTGTTATGCAGCTTAAGCTTTACTCTATTTTTATAAGCCATTTAAAATTCTACTGCCTAGAGACAAACATTAAATGTATAGCTCTACAGCCCTCTACTCTGTAGCTCATACAGTGTTTGTTGGACATACGATAGCTAACTCGTACAGAAGCCCTGTGTACAAGCCCAGCACTATTCTCATTATTTTACATATAGAACTTGTGTTTAGTCCCTACGAATAATCCTAGGATATGGGGACCATTGATATCATCTTTGTTTAATAAATAAAGAAACTAAGGCATGAAAGGGTCAAATTACTTGCCCAAGTTTGGGTAGTCAGAACCAGGATTTGTCTCAGCAGCTGGGAACCAAGGCAGCACACTGCCATCTGAATGTTCAATGTTCCTAACTTGCCTAAAGTGTAGATGAAGAATGTACTGCCAAATAATCCTTCTGTTTACTTCTTTCCTCAGGTCACCTGTGGTGAGAGCCAGGAAGAGAACTTGTGTAGAGCCCTGGGTTATCGGCCTCATCTCTTTTTTATCCCTGATTGTCCTTGCTGTGTGTATTGGACTCACCGTTCACTATGTCAGATACAGTAAGTATGAGATGCCACGGTATCATGTGATTTGCTCCAGCTGTTTCCTCATGGAACTTCCTGTTTTGACTTGCCTCGGGGTTGTTTCTTCATCACTTTGATTTATTTGCGTAGCTAAGAACACTTTGACTGCTTTGTTTTTCATTTTAATCTCCACAAACCAAGGAGGATCCATTCTTCCATCTTTAAGGGAACAGTACTTCCTGCTAGGAATAGAATGCTACTTCTCATAATAGCTGATAAGTGATAAAGGGATCTTAAATAGGGGAAGACCACAGGTTACCTAGAATACAATGTCTTGAGTTAGCTGAGGTCACAGGACAACAACCTTATTTAAAAAAATCTAGTTCATCAAAATCTTAACATTCCAATGAGTGAATTAGACAATGAAATACCATGGAAGGCTAAGCTCTATTCTGTACTAAGTAAGTTGGAAAGGCATTCACAATGGTGGATTATTAAATAAGTGCCCATGTTATTTAAAATCTCATCTTGGAATGTTAGTGATGTCAAAGGACAAGATATGCTGAGGTTAATTATGAGGAGGTTCACTTTGTGGTTATGAGGTCTCTCACTGCCAGATGAACTGCTAGCTGCTGTTATTAAGAAGGTACTCAGGGGACTACAGAGCTATTCTTCCAGGATGTAACAACCCTTCTGAAGTTTCCCTGTTCTGTGCCTTGAGTTTTAATTAGTTGACTCAACTATGACCTCTTAGTTTAATATCTCCCTGAGTGACTAGATTATGTTTTGATATTGAAGACCTTGAAACCATAGAAGCTAATCACTTGATTCTAATTTAATTGGGAATCTGATGCAGTTGCTTCTGTATACAGAGAAAGAGGAATCTGTAATCTGGTTATCTTCTGTCACTGTCTACAAAGTACAATCTTGATTTCCAGACCAAGGTGGATACATCTCTTTTGGATGGTTTAAGGAAAAACAATGCTTAAAACAGAATTTTTTGAGGTGGCATTTATACATACACAGGTCTATAAAATTGGGGTATATTTTGATAATAGAAATTTCTCTGGATTATTTTTAACATAAAAGACTTGCTAAAATAACATTACAATGCCAATATGTTATGAAAATACTGAGCCTTATTATGTTGTAAACATTGTTATTTCTGTATGCATGTGTAAGGCTATGATTTATTCATTTTTATATTTCCAATAATTTGAATATTCCTGGCATATATTAGGTTCGTTATAAATGTTTACTTAATACTAAGTGATAAAATAAATGACATATTTTTAGGATTATCTGGTTTCATAAGAAACCCCTGGTAATGTCAGAGGCGTGATCACTTCTGTGAGAGGAAAAACACTTCTTCATGCATTTCTTTTGCCGCTTCAAAACCAAGTTTTGTGAGATTATAGGTCTTACTCACAGTGTACACTGAAAACCAGGTCATGTTTTCCAGTAACTGGTTCCTGTATCATACTGTTTGAATAATCAGATCAGAAATTGTAACACATGACTTCCAATGCCCACACACCACACCTGAATAAACAGTGATTCTTGTATGTTGCTATTTTGTATGTGTGACGTGTGATGCACCATCTAGGGGTGGAAACTAACAGCCAAGCAGCTGAAACAATGAGCAGTCTGGCGCTCACATGCCAAACTGAATAGATGTGTTACAGAATAAAGACATGTGACTAGATTTGGAAAGACATCACTTTGAGCCTCACTTTATGAAGCTAGAACAGCTTAGAATTGTTTGTATAACTCCTGTCCTGTGCCTTTGGGGCTCTATTTACATTTTTTGGGGACTGTGGATGTCAGGTGATCTGTTAGTGAACAACATCACTGTAAGTTGCAAAATTACAAGCCTGTGAGAAAATTATCAACAAACTCATGTTCATCCATACTTTTAACATATTCAATATTCATTAAATTACAAGAGATTGCATATAATGCTAGAAGCTGGAAATACTACTAAAGCTTAGTAGCCTGTTGAAGTCTACAGAGAAGAGTACAATATTGATTATGTAAATTGTTCCTGTGGGTGATCCATATGAAAGTCCTGATCATGACCATGTTTGCCTCTTCAAATGACAAATTCAAATGATCCAATCTATAATTTTAAAAAAGCTGTGCTTAAGCAAATAAAGGGGCCTCTCACCTTCTTGATAACATTACTATTTTTTTTTTTTTTT